CCTTCAAGTTTTCCATAAAAAAAATCAGATTGCAAGTAGCCCCACTTCAATTTCAACTTTCTTACACCGTTGTCTATGGTCCTTTTTAATAAAATAAACCTCGTTACTTCTACAACAGTCAATAGCTCGTCCATACACAAAAATCAACACTTTAATCTTCGTTACGTTAACCAAAAATTAAGCACTAATATTTTGTATTTAACGGATGTAAAGGTAACAAACAAGTTTTAATAAATACGAAAATGCACGTACATACATATACTGCATAGGCACGAGAAAAAGGTAAGCTATTACACTGGTTTGTGTGTATGACATTAAAAATATACATGTCGATCCCGTAGAGTTACATCCCTTGAAAAGACGTGCTTCAGGTCACGGAACTCACCAGGCGGAAGACAGGATTGCTGAATAGTCAGATTTTTTTTTACAGACCCTTTAAGTTTTCTTGACATAGAATATAAAAGCATCGTCCGACTGATAGTTATTCTTCTGTACTCCCGTTAATGCACAATAAACTTTTTAAGGGCATTCGATGGAGTACAAATGCAATTAACCAGGCATTAGTCTATAGAACAAGACACCAGATATCGCAACGAACAAATATACCGAGTCAGACATGAACTCGCCAGGAAATAATCAGGCAAAAGCACCTGTTTGTCAATGATACCTAAAAAAATCGTATTTTAGAAAAAATGTGATATCTTAAACCTGACGATTATTTCTGATACAGAACTTTATGAATTACTTACATACTGCAATAGGCCGGTTGGCCTGTGCATGGCAGCTCCTGTCGAGAGTTACTACCACTATCATTCATGAATCTATCTAGCCTCCTTTTAAAACTTTCCAGCGTTCCAGCACTTACTACAAAGTTACTAAGCTTGTTCCACTCGTCCACCACCCTATTTGTGAACCAGTTCCTTCCTATCTCCCTCCTAAACCTAAACTTATCCAACTTAAATCCGTTGCTACGAGTCCTATCCTGCTCGGATATTATAAGAACTTTATCTATATCCTCTTTATTGATTCCTTTCACCCACTTAAATACTTCTATCAAATCTCACCGCACTCTTCGTCTTTCTACGGAATGCAAGTTAAGTTTCTTTAACCTATCCTGATATGGAAGGTTTCTAAGTCCCGGAAACATTTTCGTCATACTTCGCTGCACCGACTCTAGTGAATTGATATCCATTCTATAATAGGGGCACCAGAACTGAACCGCATAATCGAGGTGCGGCCTGACTAGTTTCAAAAGGAGGCTAGATAGATTCATGGATGATACAGAATGGTAGTAACTCTCGACAGGAGCTGCCATGCACAGGCCAACCGGCCTATTGCAGACTCCTTATTTTCTTATGTTCTTATGATATAGTTGCAATAAGACCTCTTCACTCTTATTACTTACACTTCTAGATATAAAACCCAATACTCTGTTTGCCCGGGATAAGTCTCGTCATTCTCCTCTGAATTCTTTCTAGGGATCCTAAGTGTATATCCATTCCGTAGTACGACGACCAGAATTAACTGCATAATCCAAGTGAAGTCTCACCTCGCTAGTCTTGTAACTAACGCTTCTTTGTATAAACCCAAGTACTTTGTTAGCCTTGTTTCGAGCAAATGCACATTGTTGACTCTGTTTCTCAGTCGGATTTCTCTATAACATCGTTGTTCATCTGGTTTCTCAGTTTACATCTATACTAAGTACGTTACATTTGTCCACATTAAATTTCTCCTGTCATATTTCAGACCATGCGAATTTTTTTTTAGATCTTCCTGAAGTTTTGCAAAGTCCATCAGATTTAATTTGCACGTCAGCAAATTTACTTATGTTGCTGTCTGCGCCTATATCTATGTCGTTTATGTAAATTATAAAAAGTAATGGTCCAAGTACTGAGCCTTGGGGTACTCCACTAGTAACGTTACCCCGTTAATGCTTACTCGCTGTTTCCTGTCCTGTAACCACGCCCTAATCCGTTTAGAATATCTCCTCCAATTTCACGAGCCTCCACTTTTCGTATTAGTATTTCGTGGGGGACGGATTCGAAAACAGTTGAAAATAATATTAATAGATTTCTCAGACATGAACGCCCACTTGTGAAGCCGTGCTGGGAATCATTGATCATCTTGTGTTTCTCCAGGTGATTTCGATAAGAAAGGGTGACACAAAAATACCACCTGAATGAAAGCTCATGAAGCCACATCGGTATTTCCTCCCGTCTATTGAAACGCGTGTGACTATCTTTTATGGGCCCAATGTTACAGTGCGAGGTAAAACACACACACACACGTGTATATATATATATATATATATATATATATATATATATATATATATATATATATATATATATATATATATATATATACTAGGCATACGTGAGTTAAAATGTACATTTTTTTATTGAAGGAATATGGTTGTTACTGAATCATCCAGGAACTGTCGTAACTATCCAAGAAATGGTCGGTACGGTATAATCAATGAATTTCCTTGGCCTAATGGCAATATGCTCTAATAATCAAGCTTTGGCAAATCGAAAATAGAATTAAAAGTGTATATGTATGACGTGGTAGGGTTTGTGGCGAAGTGGTATGGATGGTGGCTGTGAAGTGTGGTGGAGGTGAACAAGCTAACGTCGTGCCTGGAGGGTGTGGTGGTGGGCAGCATGCCAACACTACCACCCAGGAATGCCCACGGTCACGGAGGCCGTCCCTACCAAACCACAGGAGTCACCCCTGAACCTAGAAACTCTTCAACAAACACGATGAACCAAGCGTGTTTATTCAAGAGCCAAGATAAACTTTTCAACAAAGACGAATCTCGGGGGGCAGATCAAGCAGTAGTCTGGGCCAAGGTGCTCAAGGCAGCGACCCAGACCTTTTGTGATCAACAGGTCTCCCCAGCATCCTCCTCCATGCCCCTCACCTTACAAAGCCTCACCTATACCCAGGTCATTCCCCTTCAAGAGATTTTACACTCTTGTGATTTCCGGTTCCCAAGATTCAAATAAGCACGCGCGGATTTCAAAAATATTCTATAATAAAATCAGAAGACAAAAACTTTTTAACTCGAATATAACATTGAGAGAACTTGTGTTGCCGGGTTCCCACCTTTCACAAGATATATCTCGTTTGTGATATATTAAATTAGTAATGTTTCATATGTGGCTTAGGGTCACAGATAGGACAAGTCGTGACAAAATACTTAAATCCATTGTTATTAACCCAACAATATTATCTCAGTAAATAACAATGCAAGTAAAATACCTGGGGCCTCCAGTAATCCTTAATGAAATAAAATTTTAAAGGAAACTACTGTACTGTTAACCCAACCTACACTTCTCATTATATAAAATTATACTAAAAATATACAAATTATATCAGTCAGGTTTAGAATTAGCCGTATTATACACTTAACCCGTTGTCCTCCGGTACACAGGCACTCCATATAATGTGGAAAAGCCGCTAAAAACTAAACGAAGAAGTGTAACAAGTTAAGAAACAGCCAATTTGGTGAAATATGGTGATCTAATTTGCATCATTCTGCTTCCGAAAAATCCTATACATACAGTACATTTAAATATGTACCTTCCTTGCCTTAAATAATCGTATCAATATCATTTACTTGAACTTTAGGAGAATTCCAACCATTAAAATGTATAAACGTAATGAATATTTGTTTGCAATCTCAGCATATATTGAGATAAAATATAATAAAGCCCCTGTAGCAAAAATGGACGATAAAGGGAGGAGAAAAAGGGCGAAGCATGAAAATAGTACATAAGAACATAAAAACATAAGAAAGTGGGATACTGCAGGAGGCCGACTGGCCCATACAGGGCAGATCCCTTTCACACCCATCCCAGCACTTCCATGTGCCTATCCAACTTCGTCTTGAAGCTCCCTAGCGTCCCCGATCCTACTATAGCACTCGGTAGCCTATTCCACATATCCACAACTCTATTACCAAACCAGTGCTTGCCTATATCCTTTCTGAATCGGAATTTATCTAATTTAAAGCCATTTGTTCTAGTTATTTCGTTATTACTGAGCTTCAGAACATCTTCCATTTTACCCTTGTTAATCCCACTTACCCACTTGTACACCTCTATCATATCTCCCCTTAAGAAATTAAAACAATGTACCGTAGCTGAAAGAAAAACAAACCTGTAAAACCTTTAAGAATGACGAAGTAAACTTATACCTGCAACATTTAATGCATTGAAAGAAGTGAGCGAAATAACCTTTCGAACAGGAAGCAAATATAAGTTACCCCAAGTAGCTATTTCTTAGAACCAAACAACTGGCGCATCTTATAATATCCGAGCAGGATAGGACTCGTAGCAACGGATTTAAGTTGGATAAGTTTAGGTTTAGGAGGGAGATAGGAAGGAACTGGTTCACAAATAGGGTGGTGGACGAGTGGAACAAGCTTAGCAACTTTGTAGTAAGTGCTGGAACTCTGGAAAGTTTTAAAAGGAGGCTAGATAGATTCATGGATGATAGAGAGTGGTAGTAACTCTGGACAGGAGCTGCCATGCACAGGCCAACCGGCCTATTGCAGACTCCTTATCTTCTTATGTTCTTATAAGAACATAAGAATGGAGGAAACTGCAGCGGGCCTATTGGCCCATGCTGGGCAGTCCCGTTTATACCCAACCCCTATTGCTATGTTCAAACAACATACTATGAACCGAACCACCTCCCTCTCTACGCCTCCAATCCATAGCATATTCAATACTTAAATTCCATTGGGTATGACAAGGGAAATGTTGTTTAGAAGCGTGAATATTGTACTTAAGGACATGACTGAATTTTATCATGAACAAGCATGTATCGGCTAATTACCGGTAGTTTATTCACATCAAAACATGAACACAAGTATGGAACATCAAATAAGTTCAGTATTTATTAAGACTATTAAGGTAGTTATGAGAGGAACCGAACGTGTATAGTTTCGGTAAAGAGTTAAATGGCTACAACTATGTTACTACCATACTTACTGTAAACATCACCGTCAGTAGGATCGTCCACGGTGTATTCTTGAGGTTTAGTAAAGCCCGTGGAGGCCAGTAGGGCCAGGCAGGCAGCCCGCACCACCACAAAGGAACACTTGCACATGGCCTATTGAAGTCTCTTCACCACCGTACGAATTCCAAGATTTCACACTACCACCGATCTTGTGGGTCACACTCACAATAACACACGACCCTCTACGCACACACTGCGTAGTTATGCAAGTATATATCACCGAATGGGCGCACTGGATGAGGACAAATACATGTATTATCACAACATCACAATCACTATAACCTATCACAGCCAGTGGGAGCGAGGGTACAAGCGGTCCTCACGTCGCGCGCGCCTCAGGTAGACTGGCGCATTCAACGGCTGGCGGGCAGGGACGCTCCTCGCCCAGCTACCACCCACCCATTTAAATCTTTACTCACGCTAATGTAAATCTCTTCTTAGCGTTAACCATAAACAAATTTAACACATTGAACAGTATTTTAACTGTCTTTATTCCTATATGTGTATGACAAAAAGAATGTGTTCATTATACTTATAAATCCATCAAAATAATAAAATGATAGTTAGCAACTGTTACCTGGAAGTTGAGGTAATGAGGGAGGAGATACCTTCCAGCGTCCCTCCCACCACTCTTAATCAGTTTTGGAAGTTATCATATCCTTTACCTGAGAATATGATTCATGCTAAAATAATGACTTAAGTTGTGTGGTGAACAAATAGATGTATTTCTTGAGTAATTTTATATGAATTAACTCCCCAAAAAGCAACACTGCGGGTACTGAATATGACTGGCTTAAGTTTGGTTGGTAGCCCTGATTGAACAAGAGGTTGCTGGGGGCTAGGGCTGGTCGGTCGTTACCTGTGCCCCACACCAGAGCAGCAGGGGAACAGGTAACAGATTTATATACACAATGTATTTTACCGTTGTGTGCGTCTTCAAAACGATTTACAACAAGGCATAGCCCAAGTTTATTTGAAACGCAATTTGTCGGGTATGGGAATCCCGCACCTCGACGCTACTCTCCCCTTTATACCCGGGCCAAGATTCATAAAATATCGTAAGTAAAGACATTCCTGTAACTGGCAATGTAGTAGACCATCCGGTACCCGATGGTTCACATACAACTCAAAGCAGCCTTGAAATTAATTTGAGGCTCCATCGAGACTCGTTATGTTCTTCAGCTTGTTCTTGGTCACGGGAGTAAATCAACATTCGAATATCAGAATCCAGACATTGATTTACATTTGAGATTCATATTTTGTGCCGCCACGTCCGAGTCATTGTATCCAGATGATGGCACACGTTCCGCGGTATCTTGCACCCCGTCCTGACCTCCCCGCCTTATCCACGTCTCCTAAAAGTTCTTACTTTTTTTTTTGTATCCTTAATCATGGATGACGAGTTTGAGATCATATCGGTCTCCGGTTAAGGCTGGGCACAATATCGATATCTTACTAGCCATCAACTTGGTACCGTGACCTAAAAGTGAATAGGATGTGTTTTAATATCTTCACTTCCTGAGAGAAAAGCCAGAGGAAACTTTGAGAGCCACAGATTCTTCAGTACAATTTGTGTGGAGTTTATATTTTACATTGTTCTGTACATAACGTGCGATCGCAGGACAAATTCTCAGGATCACATGAAGATTAACCCCCTGCTTATTTTACTTTATGATTAGACATCCTAACACTACCTAGGGGGTTGGGTTAGGTTAGGTTAGCGTGTTTTATCTTTAGGTGAAATAAGCAGGAGGCTATTCTTCAGGGGATTCCTTTCTCCTAGTGCCAGTTAGGTGAGCGAAGAACCTACTAGGGGTACATTGCGTGGGTGGGAGAGGGAGTGGTTTTTTTTTTTTTTACGGGGATTAGCCCACCTGGGCACAGGTCACTGACCCACATCGGGGCCTGGGGGGTAATAATAATAATAATAATAATAATAATAATAATAATAATAATAATAATAATAATAATTCATAGTAAATAAAATTTATAATACAAATTAATAAACTATTAAAGATAATAATAATAATAATTAAGAACCACAAACACAAAAATGAAAAGTGAGAAACAATATATGTTTGTTGTGTTGTCAATAGTAAGAGAAACAATTGAGACCCTACAATTGCGTGTAAGTAAGGCAGAAAGTCAGATCAGCAACCTGGGACTTGGTCATAATTTTCGTGATGCCATATGGCAGCAGGGTCAACCATTAGACAATACATTATGCTTCCAATTTCTTCATAGGCGGTAGTACCTCCCTGTTTGGTAGCTGCCTACTACTGTGTGGATGGGAGGGACAGTGTGCGTGGGTGGGTGAGGATAACGGGAGGGAAGGTGGATGGAGACCGTTGCCAGCAGCACACACCAGCGGAAACTGACAATACATGTGGGAACTATCGCTAGAGTAGGCGGGGTGGGTGGGTGAGGTGGGCGGGAATAGTGTTGTGAGAGGGGTGGGTGAGGTGGGCGGGAATAGTGTTGTGAGAGGGGTGGGTGAGGCTCCACACCCAACCTAACACCGTGGGAGGAGGCATAGAAGGGGGAAGGGAGGGCGTCTGCACTTGTAGTTCATCACTTGCAAAGATTGTTGTTCGACCAGTTATGTGGTGGTAGTGGGAAGAGTGTGGGCGGAAGTGGTTGTGGTAAGGGTGTGGAAGGTAGTGGAAGGGTGTGGAAGGCAGTGGAAGGTTGTGGAAGGTAATGGAAGGGTGTGGACGGTAGTGGAAGGGTAGTTGTAATGGATGTTGTAGGAGTGTGGATGGTAGTAATGAGGGTGGCAATGGTAGTTGTGGTGATGGTAGCAGGAGGAGAGTCAAGATAATGTGATCCGTGACAGGTGGTGGTGGCGGTAATCCATCACAAGAATCACACCACAGTAGCATCTCCCTCCCTCCCTCCCTCTCTCCTCTCACTAACCCGCTGCTTGTTTGTCCTACTATTATCCTCTTTATCCCTATTCTACCGTTCTCACCCCATTCCCTCCATGGTAGACTGGACAGCTGTTTTCTGTTTACGTCGACCATCAATAGATCCAAAAATCCGAAGCTTAACCAACAAGGTCCTGGATTCTCGAAGGTTCGTACGTTAATTTTTCCAACAGAGTAGAGATGTGAGAACTAATCGAACTAGTTTAATGTAACCGGCACAACCGATGCCTAAAGTATGTAAGTACTTTTATCCTATCCCCAATTGCACGAAAAAATGACATAGGAATCTTTGACAATTCAGTATCCGCCAAAGAGTTTTCCATCCACCAATCTAGTCAGTCAACTCTGAGCAGGAACAACGAGTACATCCATGTATTTCCCCCAGATTCATATTTGTGATTGTAAGAGTATACTATATTTAGCAGCAAACATTGGCCAACACTCTCTACATATGCAAAGTCTCCAACGGGATTATCCTGGCATGTTTAAGCTCAGGGCGTAAACATGAAGTCGATGGTCAGGTTCCCAGGACGTTTAAACCCACAATGTATATTTAAATACATTAATGCAGGAAACAAGCTTGGTCAAAGTTTTACTGTTGTCTATCTGGCAGATGGCGTCCCTGTCAGCACACTATAATGGAGAACAAGGGATTCAAGTTGCGGGTCAAAATGAGGATGGAATACTCTCCGTGGAAGGTAATTTCACGCGCGCCAAGTTCATGATAAATCCTTTAACCTCGCGGATAAAAATTATTACCAAGCAGGAAGATATTAGTACAAGTTACAGTGGAAAGAGGAGTCATATCCAAGCATATATCTTCACTCCTCCATATACGCTAGAGACACCTTCCAAATACCCACATATTAATATAAGTATAAGACACAGCGTCGGAAAGTGTCCTTGCTGCCGTGTGCAAATACCCTTGCTCGCACGAATAACAATGGTACGATATGGTTGAGAAGGTCATGTAAGTAATGCGTGCGACTGTCAGAGCAAAGATGACCGTGTGAGTCTGGTAGGAGGGGAGGATGCTAAGCTACCTCTTGGTTGAGGGACACAGGAAAGAGGCGTGGACCAGGGGCGGTGGATGGGTCGGAGGATCGTGAACCAAGGGACGGGACGCGGAGGCCAGGTGTACCTACTTAGGTATAATTGCTTCCTTCCCATCCTCTACCTGTGGAGCCTCACAGCTTCTCTTGACAGCCCACCTGCTCTCTCCTGCCCATCTAGAGGTCGTCACAATATGTGGTGTGATGGCGAAATCTTCGCTTCAAGGCCATGACAGGTATAGGGGACTGTCACCTCCAAGGCCATGGCAGTGGTAGGGGTCTGCCACCTTCAGAGAGAAAGACGGTCAGAATCGTCACCTCCAAGCTAAAACAAAGGAATAAATCACCTACTGTGAGCATCTCAAAGGAGTGGGTCAGAACCACCATCGCAGAAGAGTAAGATCGACACTCCAAGGTTACGACACAGGTCACAATCATCGCCTCAAGGCTATGATGGAGCAAACAGCTTTCATCCACGACAATGAGAGGAAACAGAAGGGTTGTCACCACCTCCAGGACTACAGTTAACATGAGAAGGCACCGTTATATCGGGGGGGGGGGGGACAAAGCAAGTGATGAGCAACCTCAGTGAGATATTCTAATTCAGTCCTGTTCTTACTGCTTCTGCTTTCTGTCTGTCTGTGTTTGTATGTCTGTCTCGTTAATGTTAATGTCTGACTATGCGAGTGGAACATTTTATAAACAAATGAAGAAAATAAAAACTTGAGCGTGTCTATACTTAGCTGCACATAAGCAGGTGTGATTATGTTTGACTGCATACTGTATATAACTGTGTCTGGGTGTGTCTAACTACAGGGCGGGAAACTCCTCTCTCCCACACAGAAAATGGATGAGAGTGGAAAACCTAAGAAGTGATGCAACCTTTATATTCTGTATAGATTAGTGATTGTTAAAGTTTAAATACTGTATATCTGTTGAGATCTGTGTAAGAACATCACATTAAAGGGATATAGACGCTTTGTATGAATATGAGTTATATTATGGATCATGTGACGATTATCTCCACCCCAGCGACCGTAAGATTAAACACACTAACGCTAACCTAACCTAGCATAAGTTAACCTAATATAACTTAAACTGACCTAATGCAAGCTTACCTAAACTAACTTAGTGTAACCTAAACTAATCTAGTCTAAATTACGCTAGCCTAACCTAACCTAACTTAAATAATAACCTAAGTTGTGTGACGGTGGTTATTATCCGGTGAAATAAGCTGGGAGCTACTATTCAATTCTAACTTCTAATGGCAAAAAAAAAAGCATCCAGAAATCACACGACAGAGGTAATATAAATTTTCAGTTGAATGAACTTTAAAGGTAATTTATTGAGTGATACAAACGACAGA